TAAATCATTTTGAAAAGAGTGAAAAGGGTAGACGTTATGATTGGGAGGGGCTTTTATTCTGTGAATCTTGCCATACGTAGAAAATGCTTCTCCCTCAAGAGTAAGAATTACCATCCTTAAAATATTTTTGTGAAGGAGGAGGAAAACAAGTAAATGTAATTAAAGGAAAGGTGGTGAGACCAAGACAGTGTGGGATTGGGCACTGATTCTCAGAGTGTGGTCCAGACCAGGCACGTCAGCTTCGCCTTGGGAACTGGTTAGGCATGCAGATTCTCAGCTCCACTCAGCATGTCCTGAATTGGAAACTCTTGGGATGGGGCTGGCAATCTGTGTTTTAGCCCCAGGTCATTCTGATGCAGGCAGTTTGTGACCCACTGAGGATTAACCAAAATAATCTCAGTGTATTTCAAGAAGGAAGTATAAGAAAATTGATCACGTTGATCACAATGAACTCGGGTAGGACACCGAACTAGAAAATCACCATGATGGCAAATTCATAATGTGTTCAAACTGGAAAGAACATTAGAGGTGATTCAGTAACGGCCGTGACTTAACGGATAGGAAGGCCCAAGGAGGCAGCGCTTACAGAGACCACGCACCTAACGCAGGTCGGCAGGTGAGCAAGATGCAGGGCTCTGGCTTCTCAGTGCAGCCTGCCCAGCCTCCTTACTATTATTTTTCTCCTTTGCAAATTGATTAGACTGAGTAAAATAGGAATCTGACAGGTGACTTAGTGTTTAGGTTTCTGTGTTAATGAGATTATTTCCTTCAATATTGTGATATTTCAAAAGTATTTTTAAATTCAGATTAAAACTTACTTAGTATTTTGGAAAAATCTTGCTTGATGGTGAAATGCATAAAGGGAATTATAGGCCATGTGAATGCTTTTTGCATTTGGCGACTTTGGTTCCCACCTGACTTCTGTGTTTTCTTCCCTTGACAGACCGGGCTCTCTGGGAACCTGATCGTGCTTTCTGTCCTGTACAAAGGAGGACTGCTGATGGGCAGTGCCCACATGACAGTGGGTGAACTCTCTTCCTTCCTAATGTATGCTTTCTGGGTTGGATTAAGCATTGGAGGTATATAATTTAAATAGGCTTGGGGATTTACAAACCAACAATAGGTTTATAGTTTCTGAAATGAAAACTTAACTTTCCCATTACTCCACCTCTCATCAATTAACTAACTGCAAAAACCTCTCCTAGAATGTTACTCCAACTTGACTTTGAAAGAAAGAGAAAAGATACAAGTGGGATCCTCCCTGGGGTCTGGAATTTCCAGGGTTTTGCAGGCCCCCTGTAGCTGGTGGAGTTCCGGGTCTCACTGGAGCTCTTTCCAGCTGCATGTAGGGCAGCCTGTTCCCTTTCACCGTAGGATGGATGCTGGGGAGGAAGGGTGGTGTGAACAGGCATGTACAGGAAGCCCCATCCTCTGGTGATGATGCTTCCATGATGGGCAAGTCACTGGTGGGGAGTAAAGTTCCTTCTGTACAAAGTCAGCCATGTTCAAAACTAGTGAACAGGGCTTCCCTGGTGGCGCAGTGCTTGAGAGTCCGCCTGCCGATGCAGGAGACGCGGGTTCGTGCCCCGTTTCGGGAAGATCCCACATGCCGCGGAGCGGCTGGGCCCGTGAGCCATGGCCACTGAGCCTGCGCGTCCGGAGCCTGTGCTCCGCAAATGGGAGAGGCCACAACAGTGAGAGGCCCGCAAAACGCAAAAAAAAAAAAAAAAAAAAAAAAAAAACTAGTGAACAATCACAAATATAAACGATAAAGTACATGAAGCACAGTTGCTTGCTTTTGTCAAGAATCTCTCAGAGATGAGCTTTCATTGTCTACTTCTGAGTGAAGGGAAGCAAGATCCATGGAGTCTGCAAGGTTTTCTTTTCCGTAGCTTTCCTGAGGCCCCAGCCAACTGGGAGCAGATGATTTCCTGCTTTTTGTTTTCCTTCTTCTCTTTGAAAAGAGATGGAAAGGTTAGATAAACACTGAAGTCTGGTTCAAGGAGCTCAGGTATCCCATGGGGGTCACCTCAACCCGACACTCTTGTTGTTTTCAGGGTTTCAGGGTTTTCTACTGGTTAAAGGTATAGGCTTTTCCTTAGACATCTGCAGGCAAGTGAGGATATTTTCTGGACTGAGATTTCCAGAGACCCCTTTAAAAATAGCATTTTAGTTCCTCTGGCTGGTCTTGAAGACAAACCTGATCAAGACACTTCCAGGTGCTGAGTGACTTGGGAAGCGAGAGGGCCAGTTCAGGAGGACAGAGCAATGATGGTGTTTCTCTTTTCTCTCCGTCTCTTGGGTTGGGCCTGTCGGGCTGTAGGCTCGCACACCCGTGTGGGTGGGTTCCTTTCAGCCTTTTGTCCCACCTCAGAGTGGACTTGTCTGCCGCCACCTTCCCTCTCTGTGGCCTTCCTGTGCACGGTCCACGCTTGACCGCTGTCAGCTTTCCTCCTGCCCCCCCCCAACCTTGCGTTTTCTGCCACATTTGTCTTGATCTTCCTTAGTCCCTCTGCTGACACCTTCTTTTTTCCATAGTACTTGACCTGATAGACGCTACCTCTGTTTTGGGGTGTTCTGCTGCCCTACCTTTTGTCCCAAGTTCATAGCTGTGTCTTGCACAGAAATTGGTTGGAAACACAGTTCCCATCCCCTGGGAGTCAGTTACCTCCCCTGGTCACAGATGTGCTGCTGAGGCTTTGTCTGTGCTTGAGATTTCAGGGGGCTCGGCCTCCTGAGCCACAGGCCACCCCACGGCTCTGGATGATGGTTCCTGCCGTCTGGCGGCGGAGAGAGGAGTGAAGTGTGGGCGGGACTGTAGGGACCTGTTACAGGTTGAGGTGGGTTTTAAATATTTTTGTGAAGCTCACTGTTTAGAGTGATTCTGTAATGAATCTGCAATCAAGAAATTCTGTTTTATTTATTAAATAAATCAGAATTTTTATATGTTGGTTCCTGCTTAGAATAGATTTTACTGAAAAAAAAAAGAACCCACAGTAAATTCTACATTTATTTTCTGTTGTGAGAGGGTCAGAGGTACTATTTGAAGGAAAACATGCTTGTTTCTTTTATACCAGAGAAGGCTCTTACATCTTCCTATCAAACCCAATATCTTTCTTTCTTACATTTTTATTGAGGTGAAATTCACATAACACAAACTTAATCATTTTTAAATGTACAGCTCGGTGGCATTTAGTACATTCACAGTGTTGTGCAACCACTACCTCTGTTTAGTTCCAAAATATTTTCCTCCCCTCGAAGAAAAGCCCATACTCATCAAGTAGTCTATACCCTGCTCCCCAGCGCCTCGCAGCCAGTTTGCTTCCTATCTGTATGTATTTACTTATTCCGGATATTTCACGTGAATGGAATTATATCGTTTGTGGCCTCGTGTGTTTGGCTTCTTTCCCTTCGCGTGTTTTCAAAGTTCACCCACATTGTAGCATGTACTTCATTCCTTTTTGTGGTTGAATAATACTCGACTGTATGGATAGACTACATTTTGTTTATCCAGGGCCATTTTGTCTTCGTTTCTGTTTTCCAGAGTCTAAACTCTTTACTATGTTGTGAACTACTTACAACTCTTTCC